AATTTAAAGCATGGTAAGCTTTTAAATTTGAATAATAGTAATAAAAGACAGAAGAAAATCATACAAGCAATACTGAAAGATGTAGTGTAGATTTTTCAAAAAATCGAAGCCATTTTATAAAAATTTCATTGGCAAACGTTAAGTCATCAGAGGTAGTGCATCACTAATTAAGAGGAACTGTCATTCAAAACGTCAAGTATAAGAATGATCCAAAAACAATAAATGGCTCAAAACATAATTTTCTTCAACCTAAGCTTAATTAAAAGCTTTAATTTTGCTATTATTAAAAATTCGCTTCAACATATTTTATGACTTCAATTATTTTATTTGTATTACAATTCTGAAATTAACTGTGTAGTATTTTGGGAGCTTAAAAAAAAAATACCCATCTGCAATATTCACAATAACAGAGATGACTAGTAAGACGGAAATTTCTGTCGATACAATAATGCTTCCAGTAATTAAAATATTGAAAATAAAATGCTGATGCTCTCATAGCCATTATTTTACAGCTGTTGAATTCCACATAAAAAAAATCTCTAAAATTGTCAAACAAAAGGTTTCTTAAATCTTGAATAATATTTCAAAATAAAAAATCCTCGAATTTGATGAGGCATGCTTCTGATTAGAACTCATTTCTTTTTCGTTAGCATGAAAGGCAAGCTATTATTAAATACAATATTTTAATACAGTATAGAATGCAAAATAACGTTATGTTAATAAAAATTACGTAACGTTTCTAAAATTTTCATTTAATTTGCATTTAAAACTGTATATGCTTTACTGCTACTAATAACTATTGCTTGACAGACAATTTTCCTTTACATATTTATTTCCATTCTACATTTCTTCATGTTCATTTCATTTATTTTTCTTTTTCAAAAATTTGATTTCCTTTTTTTAAAAAATTACTAATTTTTCTTTTTAAAATATTTTTTAATTTATGCTTGAAATTTGGAACCAACTGCAACTATGCTTGAGTCATTTTCATTTCATAAATTTGATTATATATACATATATAGTAATTACCTGTGTTAATTATTTAGTATACAAAGGGTGTAGTTATTCGATTAAGAATGATAATTAATTCCTTCACCTCATTCTGGAATTTCATTTGTTAAAGTACCGAATTATAAGACCGTACTAAATTTTAGAACAAGATATTGCCAAAAAAGAAGTGGTTGGTCTTAGTTTCGAGTAGTAAATAAAAATTAGCAACGCTATAGATTAATTACTGACGGTGTTTTTCAATAACTGAGCACTGTACTGTTAAACAACTTGATTATGCTAAGTACTAAATCCACCTGAAAAACAATACTAGTTTCCTAAAAAATACACATTTAAAAAACTGACCTAATTTAATTTACAAAAAAACAGAAACAAAAAAAAAAAAAAAAAAAAAAAAACTCTGTCAAGCATAAGACTTCTAAAGCAAACAAACCTTTAAAAAAACAATGATTCAGGAATTTGAATAGCATTAAGGTTTATAAACTGAAATACAATGTAAATAACGTTTTTGCAACTCTTCAGCATGTGATGCAACAGCAACAGCAGAACAGGCTTCTACAAGAAAATGCGGGTAAATGTTCCGGCAGGTGATGATTTTTCTGTTACGAACGTTGAGCAGAGAACGATCTCTTTTCACGCGGGCCAGTCGCCCGTTCGAATAATAGACCCAGAGAGCGGGAGGAAGAGAGGGAAAAAAATTCTTGCTCTTTTCCCGGGAAAGAGGCTATCGTCCGTTTTCACCTGATAGTATAATGCTTTTTCTGCAGCTCCATTTATCCAAATAAGGAGATAAATAGAAGTGCAGGGTTCTTTGGTCTAATAACCGTAAAGATGTAAAGATGGTCATCGGAAACAGTTTTAATGAATTTTTTGTCAGTTCTAAAAATGGTTAACAAATTAAATTTCAAGCAAAATAACAAAATAAATAAATAAAACAAAAACGAGAGAAAAGACTGCAAAGTGTGCCAAAAAGGTCTTTTGTAAAAGGCTTCTGAAAACTGCAAAATGCAACTTTAATAAATTAGAAAATTCCTCTTAAAATGGCGCTGGTTTGATACTGTTGGCCACAAAGAATTATCGCCCTGTGTTATACTTAAAGAAATTAAATAATGAAAAATCTGCATAAATGTATGTATATTTCTCGCATTGTGATAAAACAACGGTACATGGAGCCATCGAATTTTGAATGACGTAATCCTCCTACGAATATGAGCATGTGGAAGCCAGAACTTGGAATTTGAAATTTCTTTTATTATCGATTTCATATTTTGTAACACTTTAACGAATTTTTGATTAATAAACTCAGCGATTTCAAAACGTTCCAACACGAACACCCCTTGCATCTTCATCTTTCATCTTGGTTCGCGGGACCTGCAGCAGGGGTCGCCAAAAAATTTAGCAGTTTTGATATTTCTTTAACTCATTATAATGATTTTACATTTACCAAATATTTTTACACAATGTACCTGGAAATAGATAAAGATAAGACAATACAGAAAAAGAAAAAAGGAAAACGTTTCTTATTATAATCGTAACGTTTATTTTACTTGCTTTGCACTTAATGCTGTCATTTTGTCTGTTACTTATTTAAAATTTTCCCATTGTTCTAAGTCTTAAAATTAGAAATTAAAGTTAATGGACTAAAAGTGCAATAATATATAGTACAAGTGAAAAAACTTACAGTTTCATGCACGCGTGTGTCGGATTTGCGCAGTGCTCTTGGGACCCACAAAATTTACGTAAATATTATGGTTAATGGTCTTGGGGGGGGAACCCCGAAAAAATCTCAGTGATAAAAAGAAGGGGGTCGCGACTGAAAAAAGTTTAAGAAATCCTGCTTTAAACTGAAGGCTCTCCTTTTTTTTTAACCTTATTCTTAAATTTTTGTAAAAAGTTCGTAATTTTCACATATGCGCTTACACAACAATAAAGGAAACTATTTTTTTTTAATTCTACAGTAATACATATTTAAAAAATTATATAAAAATTAAACATATTTTATAAGTACTCAAAAAATTCAAAATTTTCCTTACAGCTGATTACCATACGCTGATTACCAGCTTTAAGGAGGAAAAAATAGTCCATATAATTTGATTTAAATATCCAATTTAATAAAAGCTAACAAATAATTAAAAAGGAAGCAACAACTATAGCGCCATCTGTTGAGCAAAATGTAAAGTAAAAAAATTTAAATTATGAGAAAATGCATCAAAACATACTCGGTAGAGCAGGACTGGTATAATTACCAGCTACAGTTGACAGATTTTAATTAATAACTAAGGCCTTCAAGAAAATTTCTAGAAATGTATGGAAATATGAAACATTTTTCACGTAACGTTTTGTATTACAAACGTCTTTTATTGATTATTCCAACAGTATAAACGGTAATAAAATTATGAAGAATATGTATTTAAAAACATATTCTACGTACAGGAAATGTTCTATTATTATTTCAAAGATAAATGAAACACTTAACAGAAATCTCGAAGTTGGTAGCAACGATGCTTAATGTAGCTTGATAAAGAGATTGGGTTGCATAAAGTGAAACTTCAAAATATTTTACACGGTAATTACACAGATTGAATATCATTCCAGAGTGAAATTTGAAATCAAAAGCAGATCTCAATAAATGGCAAGTGTCTTGTATAGCTGAATCTATCAGCAAAAATATAAATTCATTACCTGCCCAGCTACATCTTTTTACAAGTCGAAACCTGTATGCGTTAATATTACTGTCACATTCAGTTTAGGGCTTGATAAACACATTTAATAACAAATGTTCGTCAGATTTATGTTTAACTAGACCCTTAACTGTTCAAAGATACTTCAGGCGTAAATTTAGTCTTTCCTGATTACACCTAATTTTAATAATAGTAATTATGGAACAAAAATTTTATTTACATATTATCTTAATTTACATTTTAAACTGCGTTTTTAACCGTCTGCAACAGTGATCTCAAACTGAGGCTTCTGAAGTAAGTTCATGCAGCCGGAGATTTCAGTTATACATTATGCAAATATATTCTTGCAGAGATTTCAATTATTTGAAGTCCAAGTTTACATTATTTGCATTACCATTAAAAACGAATGTGACACTAGAAAATCTATAAACAGAAATTTATAATGTGATATAAATCATATTTAAAAATTTGAAGATACAGATTTGATTACTATTTTTCGTACTTGTCAAAAAATAAACTCAGTTACAAATTTTAGCACGCAGAATAATCGCTTTGCTTAGGAATATATTATTTATATGTGAATAACTTTTTTCACACCTGAAAATTAATAAGAAAAGAATCCGACTGACAGATGGTCATAGTCATAATAGTCATAATAGATGGGCATTTACAACCCAAGATGAGGAGAATATCTAGTAATTTTTCTCCAAGCTTACACACTAATTAGAATCTTCTCTTTGCGTTATAATTATTATGGTTTACCGTACGCTTTGATAATTATTTAATATCCAAATCTAAAGCTAAGTTAAAATATTTATCATTTTGTGTATAAAAATTTTTCATTTTATTAAAAAAAATCTGATCTGTCAGCAGTTTTTAGATTGAGTTTGATACCACTACTCTACGATACATCTTTGTCAGCGAAAGAGAAATACTGAACCAATCCTCACGCTAAATAAATTTCCCATTCTTTATCTCAATAAAAATAAATGAGTAGAAAAAGTAATTTTAAGTGTAAAAATTATGAATAATCAATATATTAATATATGAATAATTATGAATATTACAAAACCTACTCATAAAAAACACGACAATGTTCACCTACATTTTGCATCCCGTGCCCTTCTTCCATTTAAAAAAAAGAGAGAGAGAGAGAGAGAAGAAAGAAAAGAAAAGAAGAAAAAAAAAAAAAAACTTTGAAATTAGCGCCAGTACACCCCCGCGCGGTGATGTTCGAATTCACCGAGCGAAGTATGGCGGGAGGAAAAAAAAATAAAAAAAAGTACTACAAAAGCATTTTCATTGAAGTACCTGCTGCCATCGGTCCTCGAGAGAAAGCTGTGCGTTGTAATACCCTGTTTCATGGACGGACTGCAGTTCACTAAAAATGCTGTCGCTCAGGTAGATATCCATAGCTCAGGAACGTCCGTTCATCGCGCACAACAGACACATGAGGCAGTGAGAGCCGTTGAGACGCCAGCGGTGGAGTGGTGTTAGGTTTGCAAGATAACTGTCGCCAAATATGTGCGCCAAATATCGCTACATTATTTCTTTTGGCGAGATTACCTCTTTCATTTTTTAACCGAAGTTAATGGAATTAAAAATTACAATAATGAAGCAATTTTACTAAGATTTTAAGTGTATAAAACTATTTCACCAGTTTCTTCATGAAAATGAGGTTGCGAAACGTAAAAAAATTTCAAATCTAAAAAATTTAATTTTTTTTTTAAATTTTTTTTTCCCTTCTCTGTTTCTTAATACTTCTTTTTAAAATTACTTTCAAATAATATTTATTCAAATAATAATAATTTCAAACAATATTCTTTCAAATAATAATTAATTAAAAAATTGTTATATTTGCCAGTTATTTAGCTCTAATATCTTTTAAAAACTTCCAGTTATTGTAAAATTTTTATTTTCAATTGTTTTATTATTAATAAATAGCACTAACAAAATTAGCATTAACAAAATCTTCATTAACGCAAAATGAATAATGTGACTCTCAAATAAGTATTTTGCGCATCTAAATCAAATCAAGTCATCAATAACGACGCACATGGTGAAAGAAAACGGCAGAAACATTTCCAAAATTATATATTTCTTAATCTTAGATTCTTTTCTCATCTTCAAATAGGTAATCCAATGTTCACGTAGAGGAATAAAATTAATTTAACTTAAAACTCCTGAATTAAATTTTTTTTGTAAATTATGAATTACGAAAAATTACTCAGTGAATTATATTAATAATAATAAATTTACCTCCAGTAATTGTAAACTAACTTTTTAACAGGCTTTGGTTATTAGAGGCTTCGATGATCATCACAGTTTATATAGCAGGCACGGCCAAACTGCAGCTCTCAGGCCACCTCACTACGACTCGCAAGCTGCCTGCGGGTGCAACGATAGGCTCCTTTATCAGCTAATAGTTTAATTTTTTAAATTATAAGGTATTTTTTTCCCTTTTTTCTGCATACCTTCGTTGTATAATTGTAGCACACACGGCGCGCAGTCGAGAGGTCCAGGTTCAAGTCCTGGCGAGGGCATTGCATATTCTTCAGTTTCATTGTTCAAAAAAAAAAGTAATGACTCTACGGTGGCGCCCGAACTAAAAGGTGGTGGATGATGATTCTTCACCTCCAGAATTTGGCGAATGGGTTCCTTAATCCCCAGTCGCCCTTTAAAAGCGGGAATATATAAGGCATTATCTCCCTCCTTTCTACATGCCTTCGTGGTATAACGGTAGCACACTCGGCATTTAATCGAGAGGTCCGGGTTCGGGGCCCGGCGAGGATATTGCTCAGTTTTCATGTCTCCTGCATCAGAATAACCTAATGACTGTACAAAATTACATTATGTATAAACGAATTTAATCAATTTCAAACTGTCCATCGTACGCTAACTGTCTGTCAGACTGACAGATGAAAAGACAAACAGTTGAATTCCTACGAGTTACTATACTGACCATGTTATGGCAAGTACTGGTCAGGGGAACAGGTCAAAAGACAAACATTTAAAAAAAAAATGAAAGATTTCTTATTTTAAATTACATCGAAAGAGGCGTTTTTTTAACATTTGTCTGCTACCTTTATTTATTAAATATCACGTTCTTCGCACCTAAACCCTAAAATTAATTTCAACAGCAGGATGTCGCAAAATAATTTGAGCCTATCTTTAGAATTTCCCAGTACAGAGTCTCGCGCACTGGAGATAAAAACGTTTTTTCTGTACAACGTTGCCATTGCTCGCTTTGAAATCCTTAGTTTGTTAATTAAAAATTCGTTAAAGTTTTATAAAATATGAAATCGATATTAAAACAAATTCCAAATTTCAAGTTTGGGCTTCCACATGCCCATATTCGCAGTAACATTACGTCATTCAAAATTCAATGGCTCTATGTACCGTTGTTTTATCACAATGCGAGAAATATACATACATTTATGCAGATTTTTCATTATTTCATTTTTTCAAATATAATGCAAGACTTATTGATGGCAATAGTTTGAAAAGTGAAATAGACATTTATAGTGAACCGACGCAAAATAGCAAAGACGCAAAATAGCATAGTGGAGAGTTTCTTTTAGCAGTCCTTCACTGTAGCTCCTTTACCTTACCTGACAACAGCCGCGAGCCATGTATCTCAAAAGCTTTGCTATGCTTCGTAAAGTACTGCTTTGTTCAGTACTGTAAAGTACTGCTTTGTTCAGTACTCGAACGGCCTGGAAACTCGCGGAAGAAACCTCTTACAGGACAGGGATAAATAGAAAGGGCTAGCTCATTTCTTTGTTCGACTCCTCGCCGACGCGAACCTAATGGGGAAAATTAACAGGCAGTAATCTGACGTCACTGTGATGCACCCATGGACCTTATAAGGTCCTGATTTTCCCGCGATTTCCCGCTTTTAAAACTGTAGTTTCATTCAGCTGTGAGACGATTTTCTAGAGGTTACATATCCCAAATTAATTTTAATCATATATATATATCAGTTTTCTAATAATGTATATATTTAAAATAATTTATATATATGTAATTTTAGTCAGTTTTTATTTTAACTTCTATATTGTAAAGTACCATTTACGTGATATGGCTTTTTGCGCTGTAGTAACTTGCCGTAGCACTTACAGAAATACGAAAGGATGAGATATTTTATTTCATGGGACCAAAGGATCCAAATGAGGTTTTGCTTTTGACGAAAGAATGGATACACAAATGTCAAAGACAAGATTCTATTAATGCGAAGAGCGGAAAAATCTGCAACGAACATTTTCTATGCAGTGTTTATGAAGATGATATGAAAAATCGCTTGTTTGGATAGCCACAAAAAGAAACTGTTGAAATGGAATGCTGTGCCGAAAGTAAATTATGATGACAATAATAAATTGAAATTGATGATGACAATAGTAAATCAAATTTTAATAATTTTGAAATAAAACTCACAAATGAAAATATAGATATTCCTGAATGCCCTAAGTTTAAGGATAAACAAGAATGCATTGATAATTTGAAGAACAAAATAATATCCTTAGAAAATTGTATTAAAGTATTGAAAAATAGAGAAAAGAAAAATTTTAGAATGTTTGTTCAGCGGCGAAGAAGGTGGACGACATCTAGACAGAAATTGGTATCAGAAATTAAAATCTCAAATAGCGAAATTTTTTTTTTGGGGGGGGAAGCACAAATCAAAGAATTTGAAAAAATGTCTAAAGCCTATTTTTATAAAGACGCAGATTAATGTATTACTGAAAAAGAAGGAAAAAACTAGTGAAGATATTTCACGTTGCATTGTCATAAGAGCTCTGTCATCTTAAAGCTATGATTTTTGGAAAGAAAAAAAAATTAAGAAAAAAAAACTGGAATATCTTTACCTAGTATTAGCAAATTAAAGAAATGGTGCGCTAAATTTTAGTGTAGTCCAAGAATTCAAAGTGATGTTCTTACTCTAAAGAAGGAAAGAGGCGAATATTTGTATTCTGTAGAAAAAATATGCGTTCTCAGTTTCGACGAAATGCATATAGATTGAAAACTCTGCTATGACTCTAAACTGGACCAAGTTCTTGGTTCTTTTCAAAATGTGCAGTTTGTTTTAATCAGAGGTCTCATTTCGCGCTCTGCCTCAAATTACTGAGAAACCACGTTTTAGATAAAGGATTTGTTTTAGAAGCTTGAACTGTTTTAAATTTTGTTATTATTAAAGAGGTTTTAAATAGAGATTGAGAAGAAATCAAATTATGTCACAAACTAAAACCGAATTATTTAATGGTCAAGGGAAACGAGAGACAAAAAGTCGCTCCAGAGAAAACATTATTTTCAAAAAGTACCGCAAAAGGTATACTCCACCCCACAGGAAATCAAAAAGCATCTGACTTCTATGAGTTAATCGATAATATCTTCGGTATTATGAATAGTACCAACAAGAATAACAAGTATTTAACAAACTAATTTTGTTAAGTACTTGTTAAAGTTATTCTTATTGTATCCTTTGTAACTAATTATTGATTAGATTTTGTGCTAAATTAGCATTCTAGATAAAATATAATAGTATAAAACATTAAAGTAATTGGCATAAAAAGACTTGTTTCCTTTACTCACACTTTTGAAAAATTAAATAACTGTTTTAGGTACTCTGAGTAAAGCTATTTTGTCAAAATTAAGGTAACAATCTTACATACATTTATTTATGATTATTATATGATATGATTAATATAGATATAAGTATAAATTACAAAATTATTTAAAAAAAATATTATATTGAATCGGAAGAGAATTATAACAATGTAAAATTTACAATTAGGCAAAAAATCAAACATAGGTTAGCAGAAATGTTGCCATATATGTCATATATGTTTAAAACTATGTCAATGTAAAATTGTTTTTTGAGTAAATTTAAATAGCTGCTATTATAGTCATCTTAGAAGCAGTATAAAAATTTTCTCAGTTCACATGCAGATAAAGAAATGATTAGAAATAAACGTTCATTAAATAAAAAACCTGCAAATAAAAATTGAAAAAAACCCACGGAACTTTATGTTAAGAGTAGCACATTTTATCTATTATTTTAAAATTGAGTAAGTATTATTAAATTTTTTAATGGTTCAGTCTAAAATGCATAAAGCAGTAACATTGTCTCTTCCAAAATATAGCTATCTTTCACACACAGCTCATTTCAAACGCTGGTTCAAAATCGCTAATTTTCAAGCTGTGAATTGCATCTGCGCGCTCAGTGTCATCATGACTACGTCATCACTTCTCACTTTCTGCTTCAGGGGGAAAAGCTCTATGAGCTAGCCCTTCTCTTCTAAGTCCTGTTACAGGAGGAAAAACGCAGTTCACGCAATTAAAGAATTTGTAGGGAATTTATCCCTACAAATTCTTTGATACAATGACTGTTTCAAATTGGGAAGTATCTGAGGTGTAGTGGACTCATACA